CCTCTCCAATTTGGATCGACAAGCCGCATATATTTGTACAGTGTTAGCTTGGAAATTCTAAGATAGCATGCGAGGTAAGCAGTAGTCTTAGTCTCGAGGAGCTTCAAGTGCATCCAAGTGCCAAATGCAGCTGGACTACTAAATCCCCTCAATTGCAAAAAATTATAGAAGGCTTAGAAACATGCAAATCATGAATCTAGAAGGTTAGAAACTAAGCAAACCTCTAAGAGAGCATCATTGTCACTATCTATACTAGAACCACAGTCCGAATCACTAAAATTGGATGAAAGGCCATCCACCTCGTCTTCCTCCACGTCTTCCAAGAAAGAAGAAGAAAAAGTTTCAGTGACACAAAATTGAAGTAAACTAGGGAGGGAACTATACTCATGGTAAGAACTTGAAAGTCATAGAAAGCAATTGAGTAGTAAATCAAAGCCACTTCCAACATTGCTCACAAAAACATTTGAAACCAATCATTAGCAAACCAAGTTACTTTCCACATCTGCTACCAAGAAATATGTTGAATAATAAAGCACTAAAGCAAAGTGCTAAGGCAAGGAAGTGTCTCCTAAACCCTATGACCTGATGAATCCCCATGTCATGGGGTCAAACTTGATGATATGTGGCATCTATGTATAACACATTGTTCATATTATGGGGATATCATTGACCCATCAGCCAGCATCCATGAGGCATCCAAATGACATTTAATGCGGAACCAATAGAAAATTGCCACATGGACATTGTATTGTGAGTGAAATATACCACAATAACACACACCCTTTTACAAATTGCACACCATACATGGCACCATTTTGGACTGATTTCATCAACAAGAAGGCTTTCTCTCCAAAGTGCCAAATCCTTCATATAATCTATCCTACAGCTTTTGGTGATTCATGTGTGAAGACAACCAAGAATGATAAGTTTATTGAGAACTACGAGGTTCTAGAGGGAGCACTAGTGAAGCTGGGCAATGTGGACAAAGGCCCGTTCTTTTGCAGCTGTTGTTCTTTTGCACCTGGTTGGATTTGGATTTTTCAATAGAGTTTGAAGTTCCATTTTCTTTTCTCGTTTCTGAGCTTTTGGATTCAAACAAGCAATTCCCTTGTCTTGAACTTGGGTGAGCTAAGTTGCATGGGGGCTTGGTGTGGGAGCTAGGAGAGGTTAGCCATCTCTTGAAGCAAACATCTTAGATTTGGTGCACTTTTTATTTAGTGTTTTTCTGTGATTTGAAACTTGGCAAATGGTCATTGCCCAACCTGTGATCTCTCTAGAGATGTTCTAAAGAGCACAAAATGGCAGACCTCCAAATGAACACACAAATGAGAGCAATAGGACAAGTATTGCAATCGCTTCCAATGTTCATGGTTTGTGGAACATACTCTGGTTTGCCAGAAAAAAAGAGACTAATAGTAGAAACATTGTTGTTTCGCAGATAAAGCACTCAGGTGAAGCGAGACATTGGGTGACAGTTGATTGGGATATCAATCTTTTGGGTCAGATCATCATCAGATAAAATTCACAGACGTAAGAATGCTCCAGCAGAAAGGTCAAACGTTGTGGCACATACACCATAAGTCGTTTCATAAATATAACGTCATGCTTTTCCAAAAAAAATTAAAAACAGTATTATTTCCATTGCTGGAAGTTTAATTCTTATTTGGAAAATACCAAATGCCTTCTCGTCTGCCTTCTTGGCAATTGGTCGGGGAGCCGCGTGGGAGGCACTCCATGTTATAAAAGGCGACCCTTCCTTCAATTAAACCTCAGTCCATTCGCATTTCTAACTTTTCTTCTCAATTTTCCATCCAGTCATGGCTTCTCACGGTCAAGATGTAACACTGCTCACAGTTTGGGCCAGCCCCTTTTCCATGCGAGCCAAGTTTGCACTGTTGCTCAAGGGCATCGAGCACGAAGATCTCCCCCAGGATTTGGATAACAAGAGTAAGCTCCTGCTCGAGTCCAATCCAGTTCACAAGAAGACCCCGGTTCTCATCCACAAGGGCAAGCCCGTCTCCGAATCGGCGATCATCGTCCACTACATCGACGAGGTCTGGCCCGAAACAAGCCCACTCTTGCCTCAGGACGCATTCCTCCGCGCAAAGCACCGCTTCTGGACCGATTTCATTGACAAGAAGGTATGGGTTTTTCTTCGATAAATCTGCTGCTATTTCTTACTTCATCGATCACACAGATTCTCGACTCCTTGGGACGATTCGTGCGCAGCAGCGACGGTGGCGCTGCCGTGAACGAGGAGTTCATCCAAAACTGTTTGCTTCTCGAGGGAGCTCTGGCGGAGCTGGGCGATGAGGAAGAGGGCCCCTTCTTTGGCGGCGGGAGCATGTCGTTCTTGGATGTGATGCTGGCTCCCTATGCGGTGTTGATCCCAGGGGTTGAGCAAGTGATGGGCTTGAAGCCCGCGAGCCGGGAGCAATGCCCGCGTCTCCACAAACTCTTCGGGGCCGTGGCCGAGCATCCCTCGGCCAAAGTGGCGCTGCCGCCGATCGACAAGCTCAAGGAGTATATCCAGGCTCGCTATGGGAGCAAGTGAGCGATGAAAAGCTCTCTTGTTATTGACCGTTCCAAGTTGTCTATGATAATCTTACATTAGCGTTGCTTGCTTTGCCTTCCTCGAGAAACGGTCATATCGCTAGCTCGAGATAACAAAAAGATTTGAAGCTAGCTTTTCTGCTTCCCACACGGCTCTTCCTGTGTCACCCAGTGCGCATAACTTGACCATCATCCACGAAAGGAGCTCATCGAGATATAGAATGTCATATAATCTAAATGTTTTCCTTCCAAAGATCATCGCCAACAAAATCTAGTGGACAAGTACTAAACAACTTTGGTAAGAAAGTCATTTTCGTACAAGAATATCCGAAATCTATGTCCTTAATCGATTGCAAGAATAGAGATTCTCCGGGCCAGACCTAGTCGATGACGATGATTTTTGCCCTTGTGGATAAGAACCGAGATTGGAGTCGAGGAGGATCTTGCCCAGATCCTGCGACCTTTGAGCAACAGTGCAAGGAAAAAGAGGCTGGCCCATGATCATGGATGCAATTTTGATGAATTAAGTTTGATGATTTCCGAGAAACTAAAGTTAATGAGAATGAACGAAACCTGGCAAGATCACGCATGAACTCCTCACTCTTATAAGGCAAACTGGGCCTCGCTTCCTGATAAGAGAAAGTTCTCTCTACTAACAGGTAACTTCAAAGATTTTTAAGAGATCTTACTTGACTTCGAGAAAGCTTTAGATGCCATTCCATGCAGTAGTGACAGCCTCCTTGTAACGAGGAACAATACCACCCTTGTAGCTCTCCACACAAGGCGATTCTCCGTCCTTTTCTTTCTGGGGAGTCAAGGTTTCATCTTCCTGCACCTTTCAAACACGTCACAGCAGGAAAGGGAAAGAAATGACTCACATTCTCAATGAATTGCGTGTTGGAGAGAAGCCTGAAAGAATTAAACGCATTCCTTAGATCCTACTCAACGGAGGCGTGTCAATAAATCTGCCATCCCAGATTCTCAGCTCTGCCCTTGACACTCGGGGCAAACCTCTCCAGCAAGAGAAAGAGAATTATAGTGATTTCATGAACTGTACGCAAACTAGGTGTTAGTGTCCAAAGATCCATCCGAGCCTAACAGGAGTTCATGTTTGATGGAGATAGACGAGGATGACGAAGAGGATACGTGCTAAAAGGAGTTTCTTATTTTTTCTGCTAGAAACAATCACACTACCCACTCATTGGATCGATCACGTTCTAAGAGATCTTCTTTTCCGGATCCATGGAAGGCCTGAAGCTATTCAGCTCCCGCATCAGCCACTATTCTCATCGGGTCGAGATCGCACTGCTTCCTCCGGCTACTAGCCCACCGGCGCCAGCCTGAGGCATGGGATTACTAGAGGTTCTGTTCTTTGAAGATATTTTGACTCTCGAGTACTCTCTTCCATCGAGTCATCATCACCCTCAAATTCCAATGCCGCATCCAGCAGATGCACAATCAAGCCCTGGTCTTGTTCTACCTCTGGATTTCTAATTTCTTTGACTGGACTTTTTTTACGTTTGCGTTCTCTTCAAGAGGAGCCTTGGACGCACTCCATCCATGTTATCCCTTCATTCAGTCAAACCTCACTCCAGTTGCATTTCCAATTTTTCTTCTGAGTCTTCCAGTTATGGCTTCTGTAACACTGCTCACAGTTTGGGCCAGCCCCTTTTCCATGCGAGCCAAGCTTGCACTGTTGCTCAAGGGCATCGAGCACGAAGATCTCCCCCAGGATTTGGGTAACAAGAGTAAGCTCCTGCTCGAGTCCAATCCAGTTCACAAGAAGATCCCGGTTCTCATCCACAAGGGCAAGCCCGTCCCCGAATCGGTGATCATCGTCCAGTACATCGACGAGGTCTGGCCCGAAACAAGCCCACTCTTGCCTCAGGACGCATTCCTCCGCGCAAAGCACCGCTTCTGGACCGATTTCATTGACAAGAAGGTATGGGGTTTCTTCGATAAATCTGCTGCTATTTCTTCCTTTATTGATCACACAGATTTTCGACTCCTTGGCACGATTCATGCGCAGCAGCGACGGTGGCGCTGCCGTGAACGAGGAGTTCATCCAAAACTGTATGCTTCTCGAGGGAGCTCTGGCGGAGCTGGGCAGTGAGGAAGATGGCCCCTTCTTTGGCGGCGCGAGCATGTCGTTCTTGGATGTGATGCTGGCTCCCTATTCGGTGTTGATCCCAGGGGTTGAGCAAGTGATGGGCTTGAAGCCCGCGAGCCCGGAGCAATGCCCACGTCTCCACAAACTCTTCGGGGCCGTGGCCGAGCATCCCTCGGCCAAAGCGGCACTGCCGCAGATCGAGAAGCTCAAAGAGTTTATCCAGGCTCGCTTTGCGAGAAAGTGAGCGATCAAATCGATAGCGAGTTTAAGGTTTTCAATGTATTAGTTCGTTCACTAAAAGGCCACCTCTAGGGCTATCTCTTTCGTTCTGTCGAAAATGAAGCGCGAGCATGGAGATTGGGATTTTCAGACACTAGATCTTATGCCAGAGCCCAAGAAGGTGAAAACGAAGGGTGAGTTTACTACATGTATTCTACCGCCACCTCTGGATCCAAACAAGCCAACGTTGGTTTTGGACATGGACAACACCCTCATCCATGCCCGAGAGGGGAAAGCAACGCTCAGGCTCTTCAGCGGGAAAGTTGTGCCACTGGAGCGCTACATGGTGGCTAAGCGGCCCGGCGTGGACGAGTTCCTGCGAGACATGGCGAAGCTCTACGAGATAGTTGTGTTTACCGCAGCGATGCAATACTATGCAGACAAGATTCTGGACAAGCTCGACCCAGAGGGATTGATCACTCACCGCCTGTACCGGGATTCGTGTGTTTCTTGCGACGGAGGGGAAACAATGATCAAAGACTTGTCGCGCTTGGGTCGCGACTTGAAGCGTGTGGTGATCGTGGACGACAATCCCCACTCCTTTTCCTTGCAGCCCAGGAATGGAATCCCCATCCCGGCTTTCAAGAACAGGAAGGGGCGGAAGTATTCACATCTCAAGGATATTGGGTTTTTCCTGGAGACATTTGCTAAGGCGGAGGATTTGACACGGGCCCTTGACATCGCCAAAACAAAGAGATACAGGAAGATCTGTAAAATCTTTTGAGATCATAAAATTTTGGCACTCCTCTATAATTCTTTCTGGAATATAAAATCAAGTTTCTCACAGCTATGCTATGTCGTTCTACCATTTTTTTTCTATGAAAGCAATTGATTAGAAACTCTTAAATACAATTCTATTCTTCTTAAATTACAGTCTCTAAAATGCATCATAAGGAATTCCAACAGACGTCAACCTGTTCTCCAACCCAGAAATTCAGTGAAAACCATAAACTATCTCCTATCTAAGCTCGATAAAAATTTGTATCCCGGATTTCTTCTATACTGGTAACAAAGAAGCACGCAAAAACTCAACATCCTTAGCCTTGGCAGCATCGCTGACTCCCAGATGGCCCCCTGCCATTCCAACCAAGAAAAATCGGCTAGCTTGGCCATACATGCGCGTCCAGTCCGGCTTACCAGCAAAGTGGACGCCCTGAGCATGAACCTTTTGCAGGAGGGACATGATCACATCATACTCAGCTCCCGCATCGAAGGTGCCACCATCGTCGTTTAACGATTTGAAGCGCTTGCCATACAAAGGAACCATTTTCGAGAAGCTGCCACAGTATGTGAGGACAACGAAGCAAATGGCGGCGCCACGCACGAAACCATACTCGAACATCTCAGCAATGGCATCGCCCTGCAAATCCCGAAGCCGCATGTAAACATCCACCTCACGAAGGAACCTCCTAAGGTAAAAGTCTGTATCCAAACACTCGCTTTGCGTCAAGTCCCTGAACTTGACAAGCACAAGCCTCCCATGGTACTCGGCAGACACCAGGATCCGCCCCTTTTCTGCGTTGTGTGAGAAGATACCAGGCTCGCTCAGGGCTTGTAGATCGTCCCACCACGAAAGCTTCTCCACAAGCTCGTCCATGTTTGCAACACCCTGCTCCTTGGCCAGCTTTCGAAGCCTCGCAAGAATCGGCACACGATCAAACGCTCGAGGCCCCGTCCTTGTGAAAGGAACCTGGAGATCGGGAGGAACTGGCACTGCTCTAGCTTCGCAGAAGTTCTGTGCCTGCCATGCCACAAATCCGCAAGCTTTGAGCGTGTCGCCGCTGTTGTAGAGCAGCGGAGGTGAGATCCACAAGCACCCATCCAACCCCGGCAGCCTCTTGCAAGCAAAAGTTTTGAAGTAGGAGGACAGAATCCCGAAGTACGAGCCGGTGAGCAACATGTACGAGTAGAGCCTCGCAGCTTGAATCTCCAGGCTGCTGTTCTTCTCATCGAGATTCATCGCCATGACACCAACGAGACACATCTTCCTGCAATCCGGCAGAGAGGGAATCCCAGGATCTGCTCTGACCATCGCATCGGGGTAGCAGCACAAGGCCGCTAGTGAAGTGGTCTGGATTTGCCCGGACCTATGCCCGCAATTCAGTGCGATCCACCGAAAATGTCCCAGCGGACAAGCATCTGGAGCTGGCAAATCGTCCGGCTGCTGCTGGATCCACTCGTCCATCTCTCCATGAAACGACCACCAGCAGCGCATCTCAAAGTCGAGCGGGCAGAGCTCGGCGAGCGGCGGTGGCGAAACGTTGGAGTACGTGCGGATCACTAGCTCAGGGAGCTCGGGCAGCGGGGTCTGGACGAACTCCTTCCAGCTCGCGTCCTCGACGTCGACGATCCACTCCTCAAACACGTCCGCGGATGCCCGCCATGCTTTCTCTGGGTCGGCCTGGACGGGATTGATACGAGTCGGCTCCACGCGAACCATCTCCTCTTGCCAGTGCTGCGGGAGGACGACTCTCGGAGACGCCCTGCTCGCTGTTGCGACTTCCATCTTGCGCACGATCGACCTGAGGAAAGGACTGCCTGAAACCCCACTTCTTACCCTCTGGAGAGCGGCAGGAGTTGCTTCCACGCGAGCGACTTCATCCATAGCCCTAGCATTCACGAACTTTAAGAATATTGAAAACGAATCTTTTTAGGGTTACTAACGGCGTTATTGTAAGTCAAGCCCTACTCATTTACAGCAGTAGACAGAGCAACTGATTTTAACTTTGGTCACATAAATTCATGATTGGAGAATTTTCCTAGTTACTTGGTTGGATAGTTAGTTTTCCAACATTGCAGTTTCTTTGCTGTGATTCCCTAGCAGCATCGCTTTGATAGGAGGGTGCACCTCTCCTTAGACAAAGTTGTGGCACCAATAAAACTTTGTGCCTTGGTCTAGCATCCTTGCATGTTTTGCTTTGGACCACCATCACAAGTTCTCTTAACATTCCATTTTCTCCAAGTCTTGTTTTAGTTTCTTGAGGAAGCTTGCTCCTAGGATATTCCTAATGAAATAGTACCAACTCCAATTGGTTTCGGTCTTAGTTTCAATCTTGAACTCGATTTTGGATTTGATTTGGGACTTCATTTTGGATTCTATTTTAGACCCAATTTCAAACTCCATCTTAGACTAGGTTTTGGACTCCATCTCGAATCAGATCTCAAGGTCCATCTTGGACCCCATTTCAGTCTTCATCTCAGATTTGGTCTCAAACTCCATATTGGGTCTAATTTTGACACTTTTATGTGTCATAACATTTGCCACATATCAATCATTTTTTTGTCTTTTTTCACTTATTAATTGTTTCATACTTGTTTCTCAAGCACTTTTTTAGGATTTCCACTCTTACTCTTGACTTTCTAAATCAGAGATTTTTATCCAAATATATTATCCTTGTTAGACTTCTATTTTAGCCACTGCCACCCAAATCACTTTTGGCTCCACTTTGGGATTTAAGGATTTATGTTTTACACCTTGCTCCTAGTTGTAAACTTCATTCTCTTTGACTTTCTAGACGATCTTTCAAATATTAATGGGAAAGTCAAGGATTGGAATTTTCTCATCAATGACCATGTGCATGATGTGTTCCTCTTCTCAGAAGCACTTATGCTCAAAGTTAGCCATATTATCTTCATCCTATTAAATGATATATATGCTTCTAATGTGAGTAATAGAAGTTTATTTTAAGTTATTCTCTTCTAAGTGTATCATGGATCCTATTATGGTCAATATTAGAGGTGTTCAAGGCAAGCCTGAAAAGGTGAGTATATATTTCATAATAGAGTTTAAACAAAATTTGCATCACTAATAGAGTTTAATATTTGTATCTAGGAAACATGTTATGGATTTGCTTATCTACAAAGCTAGGTATAATGTCAATGGAACTATTGTACCTAGGAAAAATGTATGTTATACACTCATTATCACAAAACTCATTTCATGTGTTTCTACAAAAGGCATAATAGTTCCACATCATAATTTGAAAAATAAGAAAGTTTAAAAATTAGATAAAAATATAAAAGACCTACTCACTAGATGGTATTGGGATTGATTGTACAACATGTAACAGTTCCATGATAAAAGCAGTATGTGACTTTAGTAGGTTGATGTTTGCTATTGAAGAACATCATTTCTTCAAATGCCAGCTCAGAGGATTTTGTGAGTTGCCTCTAACCTCAAGGAAGTAAATTATGCTTATTAAGATTTCAATATATATTTAATTCTATTTTATAAATCATTATAGTGCACTTGAATTTGGAGCTGAACTCCAAAGCCTTTGCACTATGAAATAAGAGTCTGGTAAACTCTCAATCCTATAAGCACCAGCTCCTTGTATCTAGCACTTACATGCAAAATAGTGTCAGACGGTGTCTAGCATGATTTCGGCATACTGGTGGCTTAATGTGAAGAAAAAGGTACCCCACCGATTATGCAGTGTGGAGCTTGGGCTTAGACCTAAGTTGAATGTAGAATAAAAAGCGACATAACCCAACAAAAGCCAAATTAATGTCTTAGTCAGACATATATTCCAACCACTATCTCTATTATACATTTGAAACCCCCCATTATCCCCCCCCCCCCCCTGAAGAACACATGATTTGGGCTTTCTTCCACTTTTGTTTTTCTCTTTTTCACTTCTTCTTTCACATTAAAGTTTAATTTAACTTCTTCACACTTCCCATTAAGTTTTCCCCTCTATTTTCACACTTCACACTTACCTCTTTTCTTTCTTTTTCCACTTTCTTTTCCAGAGTTTCTAGTAGTTAACATAGTTACCAACACTTGGTATTAGCAATAGAGTACACTTTATACTCTTTAGAGGGTTTTTGTGTGTTTAGATCTAGTGCAATCCACCAGCCACACTCAACCTCTTAAAGAGTGTATAAGAGAGAGGGAGAGTATTTTAATTTCTGGAATATTTCCCATCCTCTTTATATAAAACTTTTGCCCCATAAGGGTAAAAAAGGGGCATTTGTGGAGAGCATTAAAGCATTTTTTCATGTTTGAGTGAGTGTTGGGGGGAGCACCCCTTATTCCCCCAAGAGAGGCTACCCATGTGTGGTGTGTGCTTAAGTCATTAACCATCTAGAATAAGTCAATGAAGTTGTCTTTGCATTCATGTAGAAAGTCCATCATCTTGTCAATCTACACCCTTTCCATCTAATCTAACACAAATCATTATCCATTAGTGTTAGTTCCTCTAGTGTAAGTGCATCCACCCTCATAGCCATCCTCATATCATATATCTCATCTATAAGTGAGAGCTTGTTCAAAAGAATGGCATAACATTATTGTGTTTCTATTGCCACTTCTGTATGGTCAAACAGCTCACACCTAAAGGTGTCCCAAACACATCATTCTAGATCTCATTGTATAGAGATCACTTGTGCATTATTGTAATATTTCCTGCAATCAAACATTTTGTATGAGATAACAAGTATGAAATAACCATGCAAAGATGTAAACCATGAATGGGAATGGAGGTGATGACAAACAAGCAAAGTAGAATCTATCTTTATCACTCTAGATCCAACAAACATAAAATATGAAAAAACCTACTCAAGAGAATGGGATTCAATGGGATCTTGATAGATGTATAGGTCAAGAGATTTTTGTAGGAAATTCCTAACATGGAAACATAGTATCATTTTTTAATTGACAGTCATAAATTGATTTCTGGCATCTTTAATATTTAAAACACTATAAAAAAAAGAAAAAATAATAGAATAAGGAATTAATAATATTAATACCAAAAAATCCAAACAATTATCACTAAACTACTATAATTACCTTTTGTTTATAAACATATATAAAGTTCACTATTAGCATGAAATTGTGCTAGATTCAATTTTCTTGAGAAAACCTAATTATCAGTAATTATTTTAGCTGCTTGAGAATATTCTCAATATATAATTTTTTAATGGTTGAAATTAAATTTTATAACGTAATCAATGGCTAACAAAGGTTTATAATGATGCATGGGGTGTTCTTCGTCTTGTGCTGGGGGTGTTGGTACACGAGAGTGAACTGGTCATGAACAAGTTCTTCCTGACGGTCACATACTCCCAATAAGCTCCAGCCTTCATACCTCCTGCTCAGGTACTTGGTCCCTTTGGTTTTATGCCTCCAGATGGGCACTAACAAACCCAAAAAAACATGTCTAGTCAAGAGCGTGCACAGCGTAGGATGAGTCGGGTAGGGATGCATCCAGAACATGATCAATACCACCTTCCCAAGAGCTTGGAGAAATCATCAAATGTGGCTGGGTGATTTGATGATTTCTGGATCATCAGTGGCAGAAATGATCTGATGATTTCTCAGATCAAGAAGTGCACCAGCAGACTAAGAAGAGATTACTTCTCATCATGATGGTCACTGTTGGGGGTAATTTTTGAGAAGCAAAATGGAAAAGAACTCACATGGAGCTGAACCAAAAAAGTGAAAAGGGATTACTAGGCTAATGTTTAATTGGGTCAGTAAACACACCTTTAAGACATCATCTTTTAAATTCTCAGAGTTGGGAAAGCTGGCAATCCAGAAATGCTTGCTCGGCCTCTCCATATCATCACACATCACCGTGGTATCTCTTCAATCATCATTTTCAATTCTTTCTTCTTTTCATGGGGGTCTTATAATTTGCTACCAGCAATGTGATTTACGTTAGCTACAACTCAACAAAGAAATGCTCATTTCACCATAACACATAGTTCAAGGATTATCATGATGAAGTCTTTACACAATATGTTCATGTATTTTCTTAAAACTTTTTGCATAGCATACAATACATTGAACTGCATTTCGTTGCTAGATGTAAATGAATTGAAAACATTCTTTTTTTTTCTAATAAAAAATGATTTAAAATTAAAATTTTGTCATAATTAACAGCAAAAATAAACTTAAACACCCAGCATTAAGCTTTGAAATTTTTGTTTTAGATTAGAGCGTGAATTTCGTGCAACGGTGTAAAGGTCTTTGACATTCAGAGCTGGGGTGTGTGTAAAGGGATAGATCATTTTAAGCTGTTGTGTCGAAGAAAGGAAGAGAGCTATGGCGCTACTCCACTGGATTAAGGCGTCTCTCCCGGGGCTTCCCATTGACAACAAAGATGATGCAAACTACGACGACTTTGCTGCCACCAGGCAGCCTTTGGAATCCATCCGCACTTTGTACAAGGTGTCTCGTCCAAGGACATTGTGATTGACGAGATTTCAGGCCTCTCGGCACGGATTTTCCTCCCGGAATGCGAGCACGGTTCGAAGCTGCCAGAGTTCGTCTACTTGCACGGTGGTGGATTCCTGGTTTTCACCCCAAAGTTCCAATTTTTCCACTATTTCTGCGAATCCATGGCTAGAAATCTCAAAGCCCTGGTGGTCTCTGTGGATTACAGGCTCGCTCCCGAGCAGCGGGTGCCGGCAGCGTACCAAGACGCCGCTAGAACTCTGCAATGGCTCCAAGAACCACACTTTTCGGGCGAGGATTGGATTCGTTCCCATGGCGATTTATCCCGTGTTTTCATCTCGGGCGATAGCTCCAGGGGGTAACATCGCCCAACATTCGGCAAGGGATTGTTTTTTCTCCAGGAGCTCAAGAAGGTCGGAAACGAAAAATCCCACGATCAAAGTCGTGGGGTCGTCCTCGTCCAGCCTTTCTACGGCGGCATGGATCGCAAGGACTCGGAGGTGGAGTTTGCCAATGGCGAGATCCTCACCATGGAGAGCTCGGATCTCTTCTGGAAGCTTGCACTCCCAATTGGGGCCGATCGCGATCATCCCTATTGCAACCAGCCCAAGTTCCTGGAGGAAAATCGAGTTCCGCGAGAGATGGCTCCAATTTTCATGGCGATTGGGCGCAAAGATTGTTTGTACGCGAGGCAAGTAGAGGTCGCACGACGTCTACAGGGGGCAAACAAGCACGTCCAGCTCGTGGAATACGATGATGCCGCCCATGCGTTCTACTTGGGGCCTCCATCTTCGGCGTTGGATCGGTTCTTCGTTGACTTATTTGGGTTTATGACAATGTGTTGCAAGTGAATTGTAACAGACTTTTATATGAAACTTTCTCAAAATTCAAATTCCTAAGATGTTTTGATGCACGATGTCCTTCAAATCGTATTATTATATGTATTGGGAGGGGGTTGTGTGGAGGACATGTCTAATGCTTCCACTGTGAGACATGTATAAACAATTAATAAATGAATGAATGAAACCTTGCAGTACCTCAAAAGTGAACTTTTTTTGCATGTATGAGTTTTAATTTCCAATTAGCATTGTATCAGCTAAAAAAATCATTCATGTGGCACAAAATTAAGATGTGTATTATTACTTTATTTTACTATTAAATTTGTTGGTGGTTGAAAGAATGATACTTCCAATTTAAAGAACTTTCTCCATATTAGTTGACATGGTTCTTTTCCATGATGTTTGATGTGGTTTGCAAAAGTTCTGTAGCGCATGTGGTTTTGACCCTTTATCCTATGGTGATTTACCATAGGATAACACCACGAAGTGGAACCTAAACCCTCTTTGTGCCACGTGACAGATGCCACGTGTCACATGCCACGTGTCCATGCCACGTATCCATAGGAACCCGAGGTTCAGGGCCTTGGGCCACTGAACGCACGAACGGTGCCAAACTCCCAAGCATGGAGCCAAGGAGTGATGGAACCGAACCACAGAGCAACTCCCGAGCATACAGCCCAAGGAGCGAAGGGATAGAGGCCCGGAGCGACTTGGAACAGTCCTGAAGCAACTAGCATCCCAATGCCAGGACCAGCACGCAAAACGGAGCCAAACGGAGTCTGGCGCTATTTCGGCATACCGGTGGCTTAACGTGAGGATATGGGTACTCCACCAGCTAGCATGGAATGGAACTTGGGCTTAGACCCAAGCCGGACGCAGAACAAGGATAGGCACGCAAGCGGGAGCTAGACTATGCCTCAGGTTGGTTGGCCATGCCCGACCTACCCACTATCCCTACTATACATTTGGAACCCCCCATAGCCCCCCCCCCCTTGAGGAACACACGCTTTGGGCTTTCACCCCAAGCCTCCCTTAGTATCAGGAGTTAGTCTCTGGGACAAACTCGAAACTTACTAAATATGGAATGTCCTTAAATTGTGAATTTGGACATGGGACGAATACCATTGTGTTCAGGCCGATCTCTACATTCCGTAGATATGCCAAATGAGCAAATTTGGACACTTTCCATAAATAGCATTTGGGACCGAAATGAGACTAACACAAAGGGCATGATAGCGAGGGTGTTTGGCAGACACGGTAAGCTATCATCCAGCGATATTGAGGGACCAATCTCAATATGCGAGGGTTCTTGTCAAGCCAGTGCAAGACAAAGCAAAAGAGAACTAAAAGCCAGGCCGAGTATGCTCAGCTAGAAACACATAGGAGTTCCTACCTTATGTCCATCTGGCTAAGTACAGGTGCTAAGCCCAGTAAACTAACACTTGAACAAGAGGGGCTAATAAAGGGAACCAACAATACCGACCTCCTGCCATCGTGGCAGTAAGGTAAGAGTGTCCGTAAGGACTAGCCGACAGGTAACTTTCGATACCTGAAGTCACATTCGCGACAAGTTCTTTTCAAAGGTTTTGGACTTCCATCTTGTGGGATTTATAAGAACAATGCATGACAATATCCTTGATTTATTTGTTACTTTTTAGTTAATAGGATTCAACATGTATCAGCTAGAAACTAAATTAATCATGAAATAAGATACATGATTTTCTACCAATATTAGTCTTGGGTTGATATCCTTTGATTTCTCACTAGCTTTCTCTTGTCTCACATTCTAGTTTGTGTTCTTGCCTTGAAGTTTTGGTATAGTTGCTACAACTTGTTAATAGAGATGTGCTCCCAGTTAGTATCACTTTATATACAGGTGAAACACTAAATAAAAAAAATTAAAATCCTGAAAAAATATTATCACTCTTTTCAAAAATGGTAGAAAACCAAGAAAGAGGTGTCATACTAAGAAGATATCTAACCAATTCCACACAAGAAGTTGAAGTGGAATATTGATTAAATTACATGACAATCCAAAGCATAACTAATTTATTGAATTTGGATTGCATGCTAATGCTTTATTTCGTTAAAGTGGGACTTATTCAGTAAAGTGGGACATTAATTAGCATGTGTCCACATGCCATTTCCTAGTACTTAATTAATATTTATTAATATTTCTATCAGTTTTTTAATTTATTTTTTATATTTCACAATATTATAACACAAAATCATATGAAAAGTTTTTAATTTATAAATTATAAAGTTAAAACTTCAATTTTTTATTGTTGTTATAAAAATGGCATGTGGCCACACACCATAAGTGGGATAATGAAAAGTCCCACTTTAACGAAATAAAGCATGCTATCAAACTTTGTTGGCATACCAATATTTAGCTCAAAATTAAGAAGCCATTGTTGATGTTAAAAATGTTATTAAAACTATAAGCTAAGAGTTGTGTTAGATTGCTCTAATGCTTTGTATGACTTTTATATAAAATATTATGATTTGATTGGAGTTCAAAAATAAGATTTGCAGTTGAAAAATAAAAATTCAATACTCAAAGAAACACCTAGGTAAGAAGCTTTTAGACTAGAAATTAGTATAGTTATAAGAGATTTCTCCCTAAAGGAGGATCTTGTTTATAAAAATGATTAATAAAGAAACTATGTTTTATATGTTTTTTGTGATCAACCACTTGAGCAAATTAATTTAGCAAATGAGAATAATTTTTATACTGTCACAATTGCTCAAGGATTGCAAAGTGAATTTCAAAGCTCTATTTCGTTAAAGTGGGAATTGTCATTATCCCACTTGTAAAATAAGGTTTCCAAACCTTTATATAGTATATAAATATAACAAAATTCAACTGCATTGAGGCACATGCCATTTTATTTTAAACAAGGAAATGTCTACTCAATCACTTCTCCTCCCCCTGCCACTGCTTCACCTCTTTCTTCTCCTTGTTATCGTCGTCCAATTTCTTTCCATCCTTTTAATATTGGCTCAGTTGCTCCGAGTCTAGGTGGAGCCCAAGTCCCCATTCAATCTTTACTTTCCCCTTATTAATAAAACAACTTCGTAGACTTCCAATAACATGCTGTAACACTTCTAGTATAATGCAAATCCTCTCAAAGAATTGTCTTTTAATATTAATACAATGGCATGGAACCCCATGCCATAATAAGTTACATTTTTAAATAAATACATGCCATCTCAAACTGTTATTTTTTGCCTCCAACGCCTATACAATAATCTTGGAATTTCATCACTCTCCACACTATTAGGATTTAAACCCAATAGTAATGCCATCTCTTCTCTAATACGTCCACGCTCATGTTCAGTGGTCAAAGAACCCATCCGGTTGAGCAGATTATGGAGATGCGGATAGTGCTTGGCTAGACAATATACATGCCATAAATGATGACTGGTGTCTGTCCGATCAAATGGCTTCTGATATACCGTTCCATCTGCCATTTGGTTGATTTCTGCAGCCACCTCCTGGACTAGCCGGTTCTCTATCACCATTGCTCCAAGCCGTTTTGCAAGGTCTCCCAGAACATACGGTTTCTTCTCCCTAGTTTCCATACTGCAAGAGATGGGGTGCACTGCATATGTGTGCGTGTTCGCTGCAGTTTTAATCGGCGAGTCATCGATGATGAGGATTTCACTTGAGCTAGCAGTCCGGTTCATCACTACAGCCTCTGGCTTGACGAAGATGGGCTTGCTACCCCTCACATGGACCATAGTCAAGCAATCCTCCTGCGTTAGGAGAAAGTCAAATGGTAATATTACTCGCGTCTGATCGTGCATCATCTGTAGCAACGTTAATGCATTGTGGCGCATCATGGATGTCCAAACTCCCAATTGCAAATTGAACCCGGCCCTCTGTTTTAAGTGTCGCATGGTCATTATTAGATCCCGTAGTTTCTCCCATGTGATTAATGTGAATCTGTCTCTTTTGACCAACTTGCGACTGCAGGCTTTGGAGGGTGCAATGACATTCGAGGACGAGCCACGCTCATGGGAGAAAAGGACACCGTTCAGATCAAAAATGATACAGTACCTTCGCCGTGACTCTGAAATAAAATGCGTCAGCATAAAAAATGGTACAAGTCAATTTTACCATCTACAATATTAGCGAATGGTGCTCCCGATGGTCGTTGAGAGGGTTTTGGTCGAGGAAACGTGAAGGGCGGAAATACTCTCCTCTGCAATGTGGGGTCAATCGCATCCGATGGCGTGTGGGCACATGCCATTTCAGCTGTAGACTCTGGTACAACTGGCTCAACAGTGGCATGGGGTGGTTCCGATGGCGTGTGATCACACGCCATTTCAGCTGGTGCCTCCGTTGGCAAAGTGGACATGATCGAACAGGCAGCAGGGGCAGTGTAGGGAGGTTCCAACGGCGTGTAGTCAGACGATTGGGCACACGTTGAGTCCGTTGGAAATGAGGATACGACCGGCTCGGGGGCTGGGGCGGCCTCATGCGGGTCCAATGGCGCCTGGTCACCGTCAGTTGGATACGTGGACAAGATTGACTCAGTGGTATGGGTAGCATCAAGTGGAGCATGGTCAGCTTGCTTGGCGTTGATATGGATAGTAGCCTCCACCAGCTCTGATGACTCTTGTAGGCAAGTAGAGTCCACTGGCGGATCCATATGCATGTCCAAATATCTCCCTTCGATTGAGATGGTATCCTCCCGTGCTACTAAAAACAAACTCATTAGCACATTGAATCGACTATACTGTATTTACCATCAACTGCTATTGAGGAACTAGGACCGATATCACTTGGGCGCACTGCTGATTCTGAAGGATTGGACATACGTTTCGACCCTTGCTTGGCACTATCCTTCCTCGACACTAAAGGCTAGAGTTTGTAAATTCAACTGAATAATCTCTACTTACCATTTGCTCTGCGACCTACATGGACAATGTTAGAAATGGTAAAAGGTTAGGAATGGATGTACTATTATTTACCTGATGG